TACGTAGTGTGTGTGTGTGTGTGTGTGTGTGTGTGTGTGTGTGTGTGTGTGTGTGTGTGTGTGTGTGTGTGTGTGTGTGTTTTGTGCACCCTGTGATTGCGTGTGCTTGGGTGTCCGTGTGCTGGTGGTGGAGTTTCTTGAGATCGACTTTGCCAGTTCTCTCCACCCAACAACACACATGTCACACCGCCTCTTTCTTTCACTTGCTTGCTTTTGTCGCATGTGTTAGGCTTGACAACATGCACCTGGGAGAACACGGCTCCCAACTCCTCGCGGACGCACTTCAAAACAACACTTCGCTTGAATGCCTTTCGTGAGTTTCTGTGTGTGTGTGTGTGTGTGTGTGTGTGTGTGTGTGTGTGTGTGTGTGTGTGTGTGTGTGTGTGTGTGTGTGTGTGTGTGTGTGCACGGGCGCAAGGTGGAAGAGGGCTTTCCCGTGCAGTCGCATTGATGTTCGAAAGGTCCACGTTGCACTTGTCACTGGCATTTTGGTGCTTCCCATTTCTCGTTTCGCCGCTCTCTTAGCCGCTGCCAGAGAGCTGACACCACAGAACACACCAACCATGAATGCTTAGACTCCGGAATTGTGGCATCGGTGCCATTGGTGCCTGCTACATTGCAAGTGCCCTCAAGGACCACCCTTCACTCAGCCAACTCAAGTAGGGATGAACTGAGTGAGAAAGAGAGAGAGTGTGTGTGTGTGTGTGTGCTTTGTGTTTTGTGCTCTGTGCTCTGTGCTCTGTGAGAGAGTGAGAGACAGAATGTGCTTGTGACTGAGTGTATGTGTGTGTGTGCGTATCTGCGCTTGCTTGCTTGCGCTGTGGTGTGCACGTGCGTCTGCAACCTGCTTGCAGTGCGGGCGTGAGCAGACGGCACACGTGCTCCCTGTTTTGATCCATGTTGATCACCTCAGCTCAAACATGTGCTCCTGTGTGGTTTCCAGGCTATGTGGGAACGACATCCGAGATGAGGGCGTCGACTACCTGGCGCGTCATTTGAAGCAGAACAAACGCCTGAAGCACCTTGAGTAAGCTTGGAGCGAAGGGGGGGGGGGACAGGCATGTGATGATTGTCGTGCACGACATTTTCGGCTGTTGACCTGTTGACAGCACCGTGCTCATCTTACACGTGGTCATGATCGCGTGTTTTGCTTGGTCTGATGTTCATTGGCTTTCTTCTTTCAGCCTGAACAACAACCCCATGACTGAGCAGGGCGCACATTCGCTGCTCCTCCTAGCCAACGCTCGCAGACTCACCACGCTTGGGTGGGTTGTCGTGCCTTGGGCGCTCGTGGCCAGGTTCATTGTGTGTGTGTGTGTGTGTGTGTGTGTGTGTGTGTGTGTGTGTGTGTGTTTGTGTGGGGGGTGGGATCTGTAAATGTGCTTGTGCGCTGCGCCTGTGCGTGTGTGCTCGCCAGTGTGATTGAATGTGTCTGTAGTTCGTGTCTGTGCTCGCACACTGTGACGTGAGCAGTGTGTTCAGCTGACAGCCTCAAATGTCGTGACATGCTTTCCGACCGAACATGGCAGGCTGGCACGCTGCGGCCCAGACGTCGCACGTGTCCTGGGGAACGGATTGCCTTCGGATATCACCACCACAATCCACTGGTGCGTGTGCCCTGCCTGTCTGATTGTATCTGTGTATATGTGCCTGCGCCTGCCTGCCTACCTCTCGGTGTGGCACTGCGTGTGCGTGTTGTCTTGTCCGTTTCATTTTTCCTGCGTCGCCACAGCCGCATTGCATCTACTCGCTGTTCCAACTTTGTGTTTCAGGTTCCCTGTTCTGTCTGCATGGGTGATCTACGCGAGCGTATGCTCGCAACAAACACACCTCTGCCATTCTCTCCTGCTCCAACGTCATGCTGTGCCTGCAGGGAACCACTGAAGCAGCGCATCTATGAGAGTTTGCGGCCAGTGCAGCGAGGCGAGCAGTCACCTTCCGCTGCAGACCAGGCGCAGCGCAACTTTGACGAGCAGCTCAGAGATGAGGTCAAGCGCTGGCAGCGCAAGCAAGGGAGGCCAGTGGGTGCTGACCACCAGCAACCAGAGCCTTCCAAGAAGCCACGACCACCTGTTCCGCCAAAACCAGCAAAACAACCGCGCCAACCAGCACCAACACCAGTGCCGCCACGGCGGCAATCACCCTCACACCAAGACCCCCATGACAACGACAGCAGCAATAGCAACGGCAACAGCAGCGTTCACGCTTCATCCTCCGCCGAAGAGCAAAAACGTCTGCAGGAGCGTGTACGTGCGCTGGAGAAGAGGGAGGAGGAGCTGGTGCGACGGGAGCAGGCACTGAAGGCGAAGCAGCAGCAACTCGACCAACGCGCCCGCAAGGAAGGTGCGTGTGTATGTGTCTGACTGCGTGTACGTGTTCGTGTGCGCGTGTTGCTTGTGCCTCTGTGCGCGAATTTGTGCCTGGATGTGTGCATGTGCACTGACGCACATCGCACTGCTCTGAATATTTTTTTCTTTGTTCCCTCACTTCCCTTCTTGTTTCACGTTCTTGTGCTTGGTTTATTTGCTCACAGGCGAGCTGTTGCGACAGCTGGAGGATCATACAGGTTGGCTGTTTCTCGTGCATGTCACTGCCTCGAGTGTGGATGAAATCATCCCTCGTTGCGCACTGCGGCAGTGCATCTGCTCTTACACCCCCGTGTCTCTGCTCGCGCGTTGACCCACATGCGCAACCTATCACATGTGCCTTGTGCACATGCACATACACACATACGCACAGACACACATGCACGCTTTCGTGCCTGCACCTTCATGCAAACCCGCATCAATCATACACACGCACGCTCACGCACGCGCCTTGCGCTTGCACATGCACCCTGCTCAGAGTACCTGCTTCGTCTGAATATCCCGTATGAGCAGCTAACGGAGAAGAAAGTGGCAAAGGATGCGCGCGGAAACGTTGTGCATGTCCGCAGCGGTGACCTGTACTCGGCCGTGTTCGACGGCAACCGCGTTGCGCTCAAAGAGTTTCGCCACATTGACAGGCGCCCACGCTGGTCTCATCTCCTGCGCCATGGCAGCAACCGCTCCATTGACGATGTGATTGAGAATGATGGTGACAGCAATGGAAGCGGTAGTTTCTGCATCAAACGTGACAGCACCGGCGCTGTGATCACGCCCGACATGCGCTCACTGTACCGGGAGGCGCTGATCCTGGCATCCCTGCGCCACTCAAACATTGTGCAGTTTCTCGGGCTCTGCTACGAGGAGCACACCAAGCACCTGTACTTTGTGCTGTCGTGGGCAGACAACGGCTCTCTGTGCGAGTACATGCACGTGAAGAAGAAGCCACTCGACGACACACACAGGCGGCGCATCTTGAGCGAGGTGGCGGGTGCCATCAGCTTCTTGCACATGCACAGGGTGGTGCACCGAGACATCAAGTCCCCCAACGTTCTGCTGGACAGCTTCCTCTCTGCAAAGCTGACGGACTTTGGCGAAAGCACCTTCAAGGCCAAAGACAAGACCGACGTCACACATGCTGCGGGCACGCCAACGTGGGCATCCCCTGAGCAGCTCTTGGGCGCACCCGCGCACCACCCAGGAGACGGCGGCAGTGGCATCGGCACCCTGCGTGCAGTCACAGACGTGTTCTCGTTTGGCTGCCTGGTGTGGGAGGTGTGGTTTGGCGTCAAGCCGTGGCACCACGGCAAGTACGCGCCGCACGGTGCGTCGGTGGCGGAGATCGCTGGCAGCTACAGTCGCGGCGAGTATCTTCCTCTTGACGAGAGCATCAATGGGCGAATGTTACCAGACCACCTCCGGGCTGTCCTGCGCTGCTGCTTCACCGATTCAAGCGTCCGCATCGCCTCCCCCATGGTGCACGCCATGCTCAAGACCCAGTACGAGATGGACAAGCAGAAGCGGGAGGACTTGCTGCATGGACCTTCCGACGCCATGTGGAAGTTTCCCCTGGCGCTTCGGCAGACGCTCAGTGCCACGCAGCTGACCACACGCGCCACTGTCAACATTGCCTTGCTGTCCCTGGACAACCACCTTGACCAAGTCACAAAGGTCCGTGTCTGGATGCGTGAGCGCGTGCGCGTTATGTGGTGTGTGTGTGTGTGTGTGTGTGTGTGTGTGTGTGTGTGTGTGTGTGTGTGTGTGTGTGTGTGTGCGTGTGTTGTGTGTGTGTGTGCGTGTGTTGTGTATGCGTGCGGATGGGTTGTGCAGCTGCTGCCACTGCTGCGGCGACTGCCACTGCTGCTGCTTTGGTTGTTGATACATTCTCATTTCCTTGCTTTTCTCAACCCCCTTCTTGGTTCTCGTGTATTCCCATGTCCATGTGCCCCTGCCCGCCTCTGTGCCTACATCACAGCTGCTGCATCAGGCAGGGGGTCGCACGGCCCAGGAACGTGATCCGTTGAACCCCTTCGGCCATCGCCTCGCTCGCGTCGCCATCACGTGGGACGAGCAGAAGCTTGCTGCGTTCAACAGTGCCATCCACCGCAACGATTGCCGCTACCGCGGGCACCTGTCCAACATGAGCCATGCGTTTGCACCCCGCTATGCCTTCGATCCAAACACGAAACACGTGCTCGACGACGAAGAACGGGCTGTGCTGCACCGCGTGACCATGCCGGGCGTCTACAGCATGCTTGAGCCCCACCGCGCACAGCGCAGTCCTTTCCTGCGCATTCAGCGTGTGTTCCACGGCGTGAGGGACCTGGGTGCCATCACGGGCATCCTAGGCGGTGACTTTGCGCGTTTGCAGAAGACAGATCCTGGCTGGTTTGGCGCAGGCGTGTATTTCACGCCAGACCTCGACTATGCACTCGCGTACACGCAAGCGTGCTCGTTGACGGGCAACAACAGCGGCGTGTCCGACAAAGACGAGCCTGGCCTGTCCAATTTTGTTGCCGGCCTCAAATTGGCGCCTGACAAGCTGCACCGTGTTGTGCTGGCATGCGACGTGCAGTATGGCAACCCGTACCCAGTCACCCACGACTCGTTCCACCCAGCCGTTGAGGCGACCGCGTTTCCGACGCCACCAGCAACCCCGACGTCTCGGGAGGAGCAGCCGCCGCCGTGGAAGTCGTTTGGCGGCCGCCCGCTCATTGGCGGCCACGACGCACACGTGGCCGTGGTCAACTTTTCCAGCGGTGATGTCGAGCACGCGACGCCGTTCCTGAGCCACGCCGAGTGGGGCAAGGGGGCTGCGGTGTCGGAGATTGTCGTTGATGAACCGCAGTGCATGCTTGTTCGAGCCATTCTGGTGTTTGAGGCGTGAGAAGTTGAGAGGTTTTGGGATCAAGGTTGAAAAGTGCGGAATGAGAGAGAGAGAGCGCGCGCGCGTGCGCTGGAGAGGCGTGTTGTTACACCTTTGCGTTTGAGGGATGCGGCGTTACACCGCAAGTGATGTCACATGCCACTTGACTATACCGTTTGCTTTGCGGGCCATGCCATGTTTGACACCACTGTTTTCATGTTTCTGAGTAGTAAGCGGGTTGCTTCCTGAAACACGTCACCTGACTCGCTGAAATGAAAGACGCGCAAATGGCAATGGCAGTGCAACGCATGACACATGACGCATGGCACGTGACAATCTGAGCAATGACATGACACGACACTTGTGGCCCTTTTGGGCGATGGGAGGGCGTGTCGCAAATTTGCGACAATGAATTTTGTCACGTCTTGCACAGTCATCAAGGTTGAATTTGTGCACAGTCACGAAGTGAACAGTCACGCGTGTGAATAATCTCCAAATCGATGCACGCACCGTCGCAGGTGTCATTTTCACAAGCGCCAGTCAGTTCCAACCAGACACGGAATTAATCTCTTGTTCGTGGGAGAAACACCCCAGAGTGCTTGCAGTTATTACCGTGTGAGCAGGATACTTGGATACCAGTGTGCCTTTGTCTTTGTTTCGCAAGTACTGGCATCTCGAACGCGGTCCAGAGTACTTTGAGCGAAAGGACTGAAGCGTCACTCACAACGGAAGCAGCGGCATCATGAGTGGTACCTACTATGGTCTCTGTACGATCCCCACCTTCGATTGTCAAGAGGATCTTGGGGTGACGATCAAGAACACCAGGACCCAGGAACGCATCCAAACGGACACGCTGCACGTTTCCTGCAAGTCTGACAAGTTTGACGCGCACAAGAACATGGCTGGGATGGTCATCTGGCAATACGGCGGCAAGACGGATTGGCGCCTGAACGGCGTCCACTGCAAGAGCGGCTACATCTACGTCCGCCACACGGAGAACATCCAATCAATCAAGAGCTCGCAGGGACAGGTGCATGGCAAGCTGTTCAAGGCGCTCTTTGGCGTGGAGCCGGGAGAGGACGTTGTTGGGACGGGCTTTGCCTACGTGAAGGGGAAATGGAAGTTCAACTCGTTCACCTTCAACGCATCATCCAGCGACGGCTGGCATGACACCAAGAAGAGAAGAAGGGTGCAAGCGACGAGGAGCGTCGCGTCATTCGGGCTGCACTGGACCACTGGATCGCAACAGGTCGTCAAACCTTTGTTGTTGGGAGCGGAAGTACAACGACAGGGACAAGCAGCTCGTGCCATTGCCCTTCGCCCTGCGCGCCTCATCCTGCACCATTTGCCTTCTGTGAGACCGATCTTGTCCATCGCCCAAAGCACTGGCGCACGCTGTTTGGTTGAGCGCACGTGTTGTCAATTCCACGAGGGCACAAGCAAGCAACGGCACTAGTCACTGCCAATCCGCGCTGTACTTCTGAACAGAACGTGTGCCGTGCGAGCCTTCTTCTTCCCTTCCTACATCAAATGCGACCACTTCACCCCTGTCGTTGCCTTCTCCCTTGCTATGCTCCTAACGTGCTCCATGCTGTGGGTTTGTTTACTTTCGTCTTTGACATCAACACGTATCCATTACACAAGTCATCAACAAGAGGAAACGCAACTCAAGCGCATCAATCCTGTGACAGAACCCCACACAACCTCCTTCCCTTCATCACACGCACACACACACACACACACACACACACACACACACAC